CAAAGAAGAATATCAAAAAGAAGAAAAATATTCCTTAACAAAGTAGTAATACAAATATGATAACAAACACTTCTGACCATTTTAAGTGCCTGTTGTTGGCTAAGGGTTATGCCTCGTTATCGTAAACAATGCTCAAAGCAGTTGTATTATTTACTAAAAGTCTTTCTTGTAAGTCTGTTGAGTCTGTTATGTAATAATTTATCTGAATTCCATGTTATCTCCCTGAGTATACATTACTTATGCATCAACCATCTTAACATGCTTATGTGATAGGAAAGAATCACAACTTGATTTTGATGAACATTTGATAAATTATGCAAGTCCTTTAATTTGGCAATCTATCTGCCAGAAAATGAATATTCATTGTAGAAGAATGTTTCTGACAACACCAATCTTGGAAGTTTTCCTACGCAAAAGTGTGTCTAAGTTATGGGTTCCCAGGCTACATAGTGTTAACACACGGGCTGACAGATGCTGATTCCTCATTATACAGTATAGGATCATGTTTACACGACCCTCCTTGAGTAAGCGAAGGTGGAAGCCCATGTCTGGTCATTGTACCTTGGTCCACTCCTTTCAACATTTCCTGTACCAAGGAAGAAAAAGTATCTAAAAAGTCATTACATATAACATTAATGTATCAGACAATTAAAGGATCATTGCACCTAATACGCTTCTAAGTTGGGTGAGTGCAACCATTATTTCCATTGAAGAGGTCCCTGCACCTGAGTTGCCAGCCAAGATGTCTGGCTGCTTGATTTTTCATTTGTTTTACTTTGTAGCATTTAGCAATTCCCTAACAGGAAATACTTTAGGTTATCTTCACACTGGGACTTTTCAATATAGCAGAGCCTTTTCTTAAAATATAGCCAGCCATCCACTATGTCCCAGTTCAAATCCTTATTTAATCTTTATATATTTATCTGCTTTACTAATAAAACTAATGATGTATATAGGGTATTATTCTATAGGGACAATGTATGAATGAGAAGGACCCTAAATGATTCTCTATTTAAGCAAACTTTACAGCATATAGACTATGATTTTGGTTATGTCTAGAAAGCTGTAATCTTTATATGTTTAAAAGTCTCAATTAAGGCTTTACAGACGGTATTTATAAAGCGTGGTGTGCCAGAAAAACCCATCCATTCCTAATTATGTGGGTTAGAGTGAGTGTATCAATCGCTGCAGAATACTCACACTAGACTACTGAGAATATGTAACTATTTAGAAAGCTTATAAGTTAGGACTGCTATTTTTCTACTGTAATATTTCTTGATTAGGACATTACTATAAGAAAGAACATTGCATTATGTATAACTATATTAGAATATGTAATATTAGAATATGTAATAATATTTTACCCAAATGATATAAGAATGCATTAAACAAGTTCTGCTATGTATAGTAGGACCATCTTTTGACCCCACTCCCCTCTTCTAATAGTAGACTAGACAAACAGATTCAAATTTCAACTTCTCTTTTCTCTAGGATTGTGCGGCACTATTGCTCTTAGTCACCTTCCTGCACAGGTGCACAGACACACACGCGCACACACACACACACACACACACACACGTGCATGAAGAACACATCTATACTTTATTACATTATTTTATATTCTGTATTATAACATTTATTATTTAATCATTTGCTATTTTAAATAGCAAATGATTAAATAATAACATTTTGTTAGTAAACACATTTTTTATTCTTTTGCAAGCACAGAAGCACTTTCCATCTCTCAGTGTTTCTCATCCTTAAAGCTATTTCTTCAACTTTATGAAGTATTAGAAACATTATATTTAACACGCCCTTCCCCACCAAGCATACATAATGCAGTCCAATTTTATTTTATTGAAAGGTCCATAAACATTTCTAAATAAATGTGGTTTACATGTAAGGGGGGCACAATCGCCAGCTGTGTTGATTTTTAAGAGAAGACTATGGTGCAGCAGGAGGCCATATAGTGAGGATTACCAGAGCCCTATTGCTTAACCATAACTGTAGTGCGATCCCGCCACAGAATTCCCAAACATACAAAGGCACTTGGTGATTCAGACTCCCCCACCCCACACCATATGAGTTTTGAATGATTTTAGCCTTTATAAACCCCTTTACAGAGGCAATTACATTCATTTAAGCAGCAAGAGACTTTTAGCTGTAGCAGAGCCTCTTACTGTCCAACACAATGATGCTGTTACCCAGTAGATAATCAAGCTTTTGCAGTATTACTGTACATTTGTTGCAGTGCCGATGAAGATAGACTGTCTTATACGATGATGAAAACTATAAAAAAAGATTAGTAGTAATACACTTGATGTTGTGAAAACAATTCCATTTATTAAATATATAAAATCGGGCTACACAAATATTATATTTTCTTATAATATTGATAAATCCCTGTGGTGAACACTATACCTGTGTGCTGGAATGTTAGATGACTATAGGATAGAAACACATCTGTAAATAAAAGAAAAAAGTCATGCTTGGAGTGCCTGTTGCTAATTGCCACTTACAATAATAAATAATATGCAAATACCAAATAAAACTGTTTCCACAGAGTCCCAGCTGTAATCCAACTGGACAGTTTTGGCAACACCTCCATTTCTTTATACATCAGGTCTCAGGATTTTTTAATAAGTCAAATCAGTGATGTGCAAAATGCTGCAAACCAGAGTAATCAGTCGGATTGCAGTTGACTGTAGCAATGCCTGTGAAGGATGATTGCTGACAGGTTGTAACAGATTACTGGAGCTAGCACACCATTCTTTGCCTTATTAAGTAAGCCTAAATACATTTATTTTTCAAAGATAATGGCACATGTATGCATTGTTTGCTTGGAGACCTAATGTGTGTTTAAGGGATTTGTTTAATTGTATATCTGTAGCCATATACATATGAATGAAAAGCATAATGTTTTTTTCTGTTCATTTTTTTACAGAATATAATTCGAGCAAGTTGGGCTGTCCAGCTTTGTTAAGGTTGTAGAAGGGAGAGAAAGCTATAATCTGCAGTTTCCCATGTATATGAAAATAATAGATCCCCTAATTATGTATCTGTGTGGTGTGACAACATATGGGCAGGGCCGGATTTCTTACAAGGCCAACCAAGGCCGGCCTCGTGGCAGCAGGGAGTAGAGGGGCAGCAGGGGTGTGGAATTCCTCTCTCCTGATGCCTGGGACATGCTGTTCCGGGCACCGGGCGGGTGGTTATTTTCTACATTTAATGTGTACAGCAGGGAAGCCGCCACTTGTTTTGTTCAAGTGATCCC